TCAAACTCCATAGTTCTTTCTTTGGATGTGGATAGTAGTTTCCATCATGAGGCCTTTGGGATCCTTGTACTGCTGAGAAGGGTTAAGTTTATCAATATTAGTCATTGCACAATATGGCTGTTATTGTGTACAATGTTCTCCTAGTTCTGCTCATTTCACTCAGCATCAGACCATATAAGTCTTTCTAGGTTTTCCTGAAGTCAGTCTGTTCATCATTTTCTTTTCTTTTTTTACATCACCATAGTTATCCCATGTATTCCTTCTCCACCTCCTTCCAGAAAGCCATTCCATATCACAAATAGTATTTTTTTAAGAGAGAAAAAAAAGTCAGTATAACTGATTAATATGTTGAAAAATCTGAAAACATGTGCAATGTGTAACATCTGTGGACCTCCCAATTTCATAAATGGGTAGGTTGGGAATGTCTTCTTATATCTCTTCATTCAAGTGCTGTTTCACCTTTATTATTTTGTTACATTTACTTTTGATTTTTGGTATGTTGTTCTTTATATTTACATTGTTGAAGTCACTGTGCATATTATTTTCTTGGCTCTGCTTACTTAATCCTGCATCACTTCATTTAGATTTTCCCATGCTTCTTTGTATTCATTATACATGTAATTTCTTACAGAACAGTAATATTCAATTACATTTATGTACCACAGTTTGTTTAGCCATTCTTAAATTGATAGGCATCTACTTTGTTTCCAAGTCTGAGCTATCACAAAAAGTGGTGCTACAAATATTTTGGAGTTAATGAGACTTTTTTCTTATCGATGGCTTCCTTGGAGCATAATCCTAGTAATGAAGTCACTGGTTCAAAGGGTATGGACATTTTAGTCACTTTAGTTACATAATTTCAAATTGCTTTCCAAAATGGTTGTACCATTTCCCAGCTTCTACCAAAAATATATTAGTGTGCCTATTATTGCACAACCTCTCCAAATTTGATGGTTGTTTTTTTTGGTCACTTTTGCCAATTTGGTGAGTATGATATGGAACCTTAAGGTTGTTTTGATTTGTATTTCTCCCGTAACTAGTGATTTAGAGCATTTTTAAGTGGTTGTGAATACACTGCAGTTCTTTAGAGAGTATGTTTTTTTCGTATCCTTTGCCCATTTATCTATTGGGGAATGGCTATTAGTAATAGCTATATGTGTGTATGTATGTGTCTGTCTGCTTATTTATCTATTTATCTATCTACATTGTTTATAGACCTTGGAAACCAACCCTTATTAGAGAAATTTGATACAAAGTGTTTTTCCCACTGGACCACTTTCCTTCTTATCCTTGATCATTAATGTGGTGAAGAAGCTTTTCACGTTTGAGTAATCAAAGTTATCTATTTTATCTTTTCAATTCGCTCTCTCTTTTGCTTGGTTAAGAATACATCTTGTACCCATAGCTGTGAGGGGTATATGAGGGGTATTATTTCTTTTCTAATGTTTTTGGTATGATTTTTAATATCAAGGCCATATCTATTTAGAATGTATTATGGAATATGGTGCTAGGTGTTGATCTAAGCCTAATTTTCTTCTAAGTAGTCTGAAATTACTTCTAATTTGAGATGGCTTTCCAGTTTTCCTGACAGTTTTTATTAAATAGGGAGTTTTTCCCCAGGTAACTTAAGTTTTCCACTTCATCAAATACCAGATTATTGAGTTTTATTATTTCTCAATCTTCCTTGTCTAGTCCGTTCCTTTGCCCTATCTATTCTTTAACCAATACCAGATGGTTTTAATAACTACAGCTTTTTAATATAATTTGAGGTCTGGAAGTGCTACTTCTTTTTGGCTTTACTTCTTTTAATCATTTTCCTTGATATTCTAGATTTTTTTGGTTTTAGTTCTAAATGAATTTTGTTATTATTTTATCAAGTTCTGTAAAGCATCCCCTTGGTAGTGTAATTGGCAAAGCATTAAAAGTGTAAAATAATTTTGATGGTATCATCATTTTTATTATATTAGCAAAGCCTAGCCATGAGCATTGAAAAATCCTCCAGCTATTTAAGTTACTCTTTATTTCTTTACTGAGCACTTTGTAATTGAATCTATACATGTCTTTTGTGTGCTATGGGATGTTGAGTCCCCATTTTTAAAAATTTTGTAGCTATTTGTAATGGGATTTCCTTATTATTGCTTCTTGTGTTTTGTTATTGTTATATAGAAATGCTATTGAATTTTGAGGATTTATTTTGTAGCCTGAGACTTTGCTGAAACTATTAACTCTCAATTAATATCTAATAATGTAATTAGTATCTTTGCTGATTCCCTGGGATTTTCCAAGTAGATCATCATATCTTCAGGAAACAGGAATCTCCTCTTAACCTATTTTTATTCCTTTAATTTCTTTCTCTTTTCTTATTGCTAAAATTTACATAACCATATCAAATAATAGTGGTAAGAGTGGTCATTCTTGCTTCAGTCCCATATTTATTGGAAAAGGCTCTAATGTATTCTCATTGCACATAATCCTTGTTTTTGGCTTTAGATTCATGCATTTTACAATATTAAAAAAGGTTTCTCTATGCCTATACTTTGTAGGGTTTTTAGTATAAAAGTGTTATACTTTTGGGGCAACTAGGTGGCGCAGTGGATAGAGCACCAGCCCTGAAGTCAGGATGACCTGAGCTCAAATCCTGTCTCAGACCAAACACTTGACACTAGCTGTGTGGCCCTGGGCAAGTCACTTAACCCCAATTGCCTAAAAAAAAAAGAAATTACTTTAAAAAAAGTGTTATACTTTGTCAAAGGCTTTTTCCTGTATCTATTGATGAATTGATAATTTAAGAAATTATGAAATGGAGGTAAGCACTCAGACCTCTTTGGATACTGGCTGGGAAAGACCACAATGGCATCAGAAGTAAGGCTGCAATCTCACATTAATAAGGCACAGAGGTTGTAAGGGCAAATGGTACAGAAGGTACAGAGACAAGCTGTGCAAGGGATATAGAGGCAGATGGCATTCAGTCAGGGCAAGGTGGCAAAGGAAGGCAGGTCTCGGTAGGGAAGCGAATGGGAAGCAGGAGAAGCACCAAGAATCACGGGTTGAGAGTACTCAGCATGGACTCAGAAAGGTATGGAAGAGCACTAAGGCAGGGGCAGGGCAGGAGTCTGAAGTCTCATTCATATAGATTTTTTTTGGAGGGGAATAGACTAACTCTTATCTGTGCCACCTTGGGTTTAGCTCATTTAACATATCCACATCATCCCCAAATCGTCAGTGTTATTTGGTGTCCTGCTGGTCTTACTGTGGATGTCTGGAACTTGTCTGAGATTTTCATGTCACAGGACCAAAAGACACTAACGGGAATGTCTATATGGCTTTCCCTGAATTCACCATACATTGCCAGTATGTGATTTTTGGTTAATATATGGTACAATTTGTAAATTAAATTCCTTTGAACTTTGGAATGGTTTGCACATGACTTCTAGGTTTCCCTTTGCAATCTTACTTCTTACTGTTGCCATGTCATACTGACTACTTATAAACTTACCATACTGACTATAAGAGAGGGGTGGGGTTGGTCAGAAGGAAAGAACAAGATGCATTTTTAACACAATTCAGATGATCATGTGGTTTTGGATGTTTTGGTGTTTGCTAAACTTGTAAACAGATTACTTACGGAAGAACTCCATATTTGACAAGAACTGTGGGGAACAGTGAAATGCAAACTGGAAGAAATTTGGCTTAGACCAACATCTTACAACACATTCCACAATAAATTCAAAATAGATATGCAGCCTGAATATTAAAGCTCATATCACAAAAACATTACAAGAGAAGCATATCGTGTGGGACAAATGAAAGTTTCTCATGTGAGATGTAAGCTATGCTCCAAAAATGTAGTAAGGCTTCAGCATGAGCTGTGCCTGTTTCACTTTCGTTATTGGGGAATGGGGGCTGTGCACTAGCTGCCCACCCCCCTCCCTTGTTTTGTAAACCCCCCCTTTTGTTTTGTGCCTTAACTTTACCAAATAAGGTAATCTTCTAGCTCTCAAGCAAGTTTTGGCTGAAATGTATCTCTTGGGTTCTAACTATAGACTGTGAGGTCTCTTGCCTCAGACAATGAGGAGAAAGAGATTGAGACAAACAGGTTGGGGAGGGGGGCTTTTTGGAGTGATTTGTCTAAAAGTATGTATACTACTTGCTGTTGTTTGTGCTTCACCTCACTACTCCAGTCTGCTTTGGGTAGGAGACACCCAACTCTCGCTGGAGACTTGCTAGAATAAAACCTTCTGTTTTCTAGCTGGAGATACCTCTGAGTTTTTATTTGGGTAAGTGGTCTTGATTCTACTCAATATTATTATACCTTTCACAGTTTTGGGGAAGGAATACATTCTTAACCTACAAGAGATGGAGGCAATTATAAAGAATAAAATAATTTTGATTATATGACAGAGAAAAACTTTTGCACAAAATTAAGACATCTACGATAAAAAAGAGAAACAATCCACTAGTGAAAAAATCTCTATATCAAATATTTTTGATTAGGGTTTAATATCTTAGACATAGAGACAACAAACAGACCAAAGGCCATTCCCCAACATAGAAGTGGTCAAAAATATGCACAAATAGTTATCCAAAAATATTGTAATCAATCCACAACTTCAGGAAAGGATGTTCCACATCACTGATTCTGAATACACATTGCTATCTTTCCATCTCAAAGGAGATGCAATTGTATTTATAGTTTATATACTCAGATGTGCATGTATTATCTCCAACATAAAGTATCTAGAAGGGAGGGCATTCTACAAGCCGTTGAACTTGGCAGCCCAAAGAGTTGCGTAGTTCTCTCGATTTGAGCCCCTTGCCTTAGCCGCAGTAGCCCTGGGCCTCCTTTGCACGCTTCCACCGCCCTAAGAGCCAGCACTCGCTCCTCCCCTTATTTTGGAGAGAGGGAGATTGAAAAGGAGAGATGGGGGGGGCGTGTGGGCGCTTTGGCCGTAAGCGGATGCAACGACGCGTTTCCGGAGGCGTGTAAAGTTTGAGGAAGCAGTGTCCCGGGTTCAGCCACGGGGTCTCGGTCTTCTAGCTTGCCTGGCGGGGGCGGGCAGGGCGATCCCCGAGGCGGCCGCCGCAGGGTTCCTCCGGTCGTGCTGGGGACTCATCGCTCCGGCGCTCCGGGTAACGCGCGCGGCACTGCGCGTGCGCCTGGGAGCCCGCGCCCCTCCCCCGGCCCCAGCCAGTTGCAGTGGTCTGCTGGGCTGCCTGCCTCTTACTGCGCCCCGCCGCTGGCGCCCCCGCCGCCGCCGGGCGAGCTCAGCGCGAGCGCAGCTGGCCCTAGCGAAGCAGATGACGGAACGAGCGCTGGCGGGAGGAGGAGGCCGCTGCCAGCTCGAGAGGGTCCCGGGGTGGGAGCGGAATCCGCCGCAGCCGCAGCCCCTCCTCTTGCTTGCCTCGCCGTCCCTCCCAGCCGGCTGGGAAATGGGACCAATATGAGTCCCGAGCTGCCGCCGGAGAAAGAAGAGCAGGCGGTGGCAGCTGCGGCGGCACCCGCGGCATCAGCGGAGGAGGAGGAAGGAGGCGGCATCTGCAAAAAGAGAAGTAGCCGCATTATGCTGGTGAGGAGGATCGGCGCGAAGCTGGGGGGCAGCAGCTCGGTGAGCGCTTGGGGATCCTGGGGGGCGGAGGGGGTGGGAGCGCACGCGTGCGCGGCCCGGAGCTATGGCACGCGGGTGGGCGGGCAGATAATTGCAAACTCCTCCCGCAAGCACTTTTGCCCTCGGCTGGAGGCATCTCTCGCCCCCGCTCCCAGCCGCGGATGCTTTCGCGACTTCCATCCAGCTTCTTGGGTACCTGGGAACTGAGCCCGGAGTCTTAGCTCCAGACCCAATTAATTTCCAGATCAGGAGGGAGAAGAAACCGTTGTGGGTATTAAATGGGAAGGAAGAAAGTTACAATTGGGAAAAAAAAAGTTCCTCTTCTGGAGCTTTGCCTTAAAGTTTGTGTGCGTTGCAACATGGAGCACCTGACAGGGATTAAGCATGTTTTCTATGAGAGTCAGGGCATGGTTTTTTTTTCTTCTCTCCAAAGTTGGTCTTAAGTTAGGCATGAGCTGATGTCTCTCCATGTATCGGATGCCAAATATGAGAGGGAATGCTTGCAAACTGCACCTACTAACGGGCACATCCCATAACGAGAAAAATGATTACCACAAGGAGAAACGAAACACCTAAATGTTTTCGTCAAAGCCGGGTTTTTTGTGTCATGAACCCTTTGGCAGTCAGGTGAAGCCTATGTGCGCCTTCTGAGAGTGAGGTTTTTAAATGAATAAAATACATGGGATTGCAAAGGAAACTAATACATTGAAATACAATTAACAAAATATGAAAAAAAGTTCATAGATCCTCGGATTAAGAACTTTTGAGTTCAAGCCTGGATTTTCATTTTTTTGGTTGCATACGCTTCTGGGGTAGTGAACCTTAAAGTGCTTTTCTGAAGACCCAGTTTTTGGACCCAAAACTGAAATACACAGGAACCGTTTTCTACCAGTGCATTTGGCTTCAGTCTTCAAAATCTACCGTGCCAGGAAGTTAGTATTAGTTAGTCTATGGAAATAGTCTGTTAGGAAGTTAATCTATGTATTGTTTTATCTTTCCTGAGGTTTGTCAAAAAACTGGGTCAAGTTGACATGGAGGCAAAATTTTGAACTCTTTGCCAGGAAAGAAAGTGGCAACTTGCTTTAGCACTATGTCAAATAGTCTAGATCTCCCAGAGAAATGACCTTCCCCAAATCATTTTCGGCTTCAAAAAGTTTTTCTCATTTCATTGGCAGTCTAGGCATATAGCCTTTTGCCTCCAGTTTGGGCCTTTGTGGTCCACAGTTATACAACTCTAAACCTGCAGTCTCTTTTTTGGAGGGAGTGGTTTAAGTGTTCTTTAGCCTATGCTTGGGGGAAGAGAAATGATAGATCAGTATTATTTAGTAATCCCTACATATTGTTTGCTTTTAAAACAATTCTCTAGCATTGAAGAGATTGTAGAAATTTTGAAGCCATGTAAAAAGGTTTTTTTAAAAATAAGGTAAACAAATTGGAATGTGGAGATTAACTGTATATGCAAACGTTTTAGTAACCTGTGCAGATCTAAAGTCACTGCTTAGGAATATAAACTGGTTTGAGACCTAGTTAGGCCGTTAGTTTATTTCACTTAACATATTACTGTGCCTTGGTGGGTTAGAAAAGAATCTTGAAAGTTCTTCCAACTCTTAAAAAAAGTTTGTACATAGATGTTTGATATGTTGAGATGTTGTAAGGCAAAATGTATACCACAGAATTATTATGGTAGAAGTAGATAATTGGAATGGGTATCTTTTTATGTATAGTAGTAATTAGAAAATAGAGACAGCCAGGTGGTGTGGTGGATAGAAAGCTGGGACTGGAGTCAGGAAGACTTGGGTTCAAATTTAGCCTCAGACACTTGCTAGCTGTATGACCCTAGTCAAGTTACTTAACCCTGTTTTCCTCAGTTTCCTTATCTATAACATGAGCTGGAGAAGCAAATGGCAAACCCCTCCAGGACCTTTGCTAAGAAAACCCCAAATGGAGTCACAGAGTCAGACACGATTGAAACAACTAAACAACAAAAAAGTAACTAGAAGGGTCTACAGTTTTCTCATATATCTTAAACTGTTGGCTCTTTTTTCCTTTGATACAACATTATTTTCTCAACTTCACAGATTAAAAAAAAACAAAAAACCTCAGTTCTCAGAAATTTACAGGACAGTGTAAGGGAAAGGTAAATCTTTCTATGGATAATTGGCATCCAGTTGAACTTTTTTGTTTCTTGATGGCCTAGAGCTGGTCAGTTGACTTCTGTTAGTGATAGTAAGCTCCTAAGTAAATTGTATCCACATGAATAAACTTTGACTTTTTTTGGGGGGGGTCTCATTAATTTTTATTTTTCTTAATACTTTCTTTTAAGTAATATAAAGAAGTTCACGTGAGAATTTTTAATTGCAACTAAATTCCTTCTTAGTATCACTGGATGTGGGAATATATAGCATGAAGGCTTGACCTCCATTTGACAGTGAATAACTAGGACAAGTTTCCAGAGTGTTGGCTATACTTAATAAGGGGAATGGCATGTTTACTTGGCTGTGTGGTAAGGGAGCATCCACACATTTTATGCATTAATGCGATATATAAATATGTTCATTGCTGAATTTAGTCATATGCAATTTTTTTGCTTCTCAAATGTTTCGTTTTCTTTTGTTTTTTATCAAAAAAATTTTTTTTTGACACAGCAGATATTTCTTCACAAACACTCAATATATTTTCTGTAGTGTTTGAATTTGGGATGGAGTGGGGAAGGGCTTGGGAGGTGGGGTTGAGTAGGATTCTGTCTAAGTGTGTTTCTGCTCACACAGAGGGTGATTTGGGCAAAGTAGTTTGCCTTATCGTTGAGTGCAGGTTTTTTTTTTAAGTTTTTCTTATTTTGAACTTAAGATGAACTGACAAACATGAACGTTCTTTTCTGTATACAAAGAACAGAAAAAAAGGATTACATATGAAGCTATGACTCTCCATTATGTCTAGGTTGTTTGCCTTTTTTCAAGTAAGTTTTTATTGATAATTTTTTGTTTATACATTAAATAAGTTTCCCTCTGAATCCTCCCTTCTGGGAGCAATGTCTTATAATAGGGTTTTTTTTTTGTTTTTTTTATAATAGGTTTTTTTTTAAAGAAAAAAGAAGAGAAGGGAAAAATAATTGACAAAATCAGTCAATGCGTCGTCAAATAAATATTCAGTGTTCCAGACCTGCAGACGTCCTACCTCTGCAGAGGATTGTGGGGAAATATATAGTCATTTCTCTTGGTAATTTTGCTTTGCAATTCTGTAACTTTTAATTAATTTCTTGTTGTTGCTGTTTCCATTTACAGTGTTGTAATCATTACGCATATTATTTTCTTGGTTCTGCTTACTTCACTTTGTATCTGTTCATGTAGATCTTTCCATGCTTCTCCATATTGATCACATTTGCATTGAAATACAGCAGAGTAATATTCCATTACATTCACGTCTCATAATTTGTTTAGCCATTCTCCAGTCTGGAGAAGCTGGAACTTTATTTCCATTTCTTTGTTACCACAAAAAGTGCTACTATTAATATTTTGGTGTATGTGGATCCTTTCTTTTTGTCAGTGACCTCCTTGGGATATATTCCTAGCAGTGGAATCTCTGGGTCAAAGGTTTGGATATTTTAGTCACTTTATTTCCATAATTCCAAATTCCTTTCCAGTATAGTTGTACTAATTCCCAGCTCCACCAGCAATGCTTTAGTGTGCTTATCTTCCCACAGCATTGACTGTGTCTTTTTTTTTGGTCATCTTTGCAATTTATTGCATGTGAGGTGAAATCTCAGGGTTGTTTGATATGTATTTTATTATTAGTGATAGGGAGTATTCTTTAATATATTCATGCTTTTCAATTTCTTTTTTGAGAAATGTTTGTTCTTATAATTTGACTGCTTCTCTATTGGGCAATGGCTTTTGGTCTTATAAATTTCTGTTCGGTGAGGAAACAAGTGTTTGTTAAGTGTCTCTCTGTGACAGGCACTGATTGTAATAAGCACTGGGGATATAAGAAAGGCAAAAGACAGCCTCTGCTCTTCAAGGAGTCGCGTAGGGGAGACAACACGCAAACAACTATGTACAAACAAGATAAATACAGGATCAGTTGGAGATAATCAACACAGGGAAGGCACAAGCATTAAAGGGGTATTGGGAAAGACTTTTTGCAGAAGGTGAGACTTTTAACTGAAGTTTGAAGGAAGCCAGGAGGCAGAGATGAGGAGGGAGAGCGTTCCAGGCATGGAGAAGAGCCAGTGAAGACCCTTGGATTAGAGGAAATGTTGTCTGTATGGGTCAGCAAGGAGATATAAGGTCTAAGAAACTAGAAAATTAGGAAAGGGCCAGGTTATGGAGAGCTTTATAAGTAAAACAGAGGATTTTCTTTTTGATCCTGGAGGTGATAGGGAGCCTGTGTGTGTGTTTTTGACTTAGTCATCCTTGATCTTTAGGAAGATCGATTTAACAGTTAAGCAGAAGATAGATTAGTGGGGAGAGATTTGAGGGAGGAAGACTAGCCAGCAGGCTATTGGAATAGTCCAGGAATGAGGTGATGAGGGTCTGTACCAGAGTGGTGGCAGCATTAGAGGAGAAAAGAGGACATATTCAAGGGAGATTTTTCAAAGGTAGAAATGAGAGCACTCAGCAATATGTTAGAAATGGGGTGGGGTGAGAGAGTGAAGAGTCAGGGATGACATGTAAGTTGTGAGCTGGAATAACTGGGAGTATGGTGATACTCCCAGAAGGGAGGGTTTTGGGGGAAAGATAACGAGTTCAGTTTTGGACATGATGAGTTTTAGATGTCTAAAGGATATCTAGTTTGAGATATCCAGTAGACCTCAAGTCTGGAGGTTAGGGCTAGATAAATAGATCTGAGAATCATCAGCATAGACATGATAACTCAGTGCGTAGGAACTGATGAGATCACCAAGCAAAATAACAGAGAGGACCCAGAACAGGACCTTAGTGGTAACCCAGGATTAGTGGGCTGGAAGTAGATGAAGATCCAGAAAAAGAGACAGGTAGCAGGAA